CCAAGCCTTCCTGGCTTATAAGGTCTGGGTTGAGAAGTCAGTTGAAATCTGGATTGGTAACCAGCCATTTATCTCTTGCAGCTTTTAAAATTTTATTCTTATTCTGTATGTTAGGCATTTTCATTATAATATGTCTTGGAGTGGATCTATTGTGAATTTGTATATTTGTAGTCATAAATGCCTCTTGTATCTGAATTCCATCTTATTCTTAAGGTTTGGAAAATTTTCTGCTATTATTTCATTGAAAAGATTGGAGCCTTCCTCTACCCCAGTGATTCTTAAATTTGGCCTCTTGATGTTTTTTCCAGATTTCTTGAATATTATGGTCATTGTCTCCTACGTCTTTTTTTTATGGTCAGCTTTATTTTCAAGATTATGTACTTTGTCTTCAAGGCTTGAAAATCTATCTTCAAAGTGTTTTAATCTATTGGTAATGCTTTCCATTGAAATTTTTTTAGAATTTTTTATTATTTTTACTTACACATGACAGTAGAATGTATTTTGACATAATCATACATACATGAAATATAACTTCCCATCTTTGTGGTTGTTTCCATTGAAATTTTAATTTGTTTTTTGAGTCTTTATTTTCTGGGTTTTTGTTGGGTTGTTTTTCAGAATCTCTTTTTATTGAAGTGGTCTTTCACTTTCTGTATCTTCTCTCTAATTTCACTCCTTACATCTTTATTTTTTTATTTAAAAAAAAATTTTTTTGTAGTTGTAGATGGACAGAATGCCTTTATTTTATTTGTTTATTTTTATGTGGTGCTGAGGATCAAACTCAGTGCCTCACACATGCTAGGCAAGGCTCTACCACTGAGCCACAGCCCCAGTCTCCTTACATCTTCTTTAAGCTCAAAGAACATTGTAACTATGAACTTTCTAAAATATTTTTTCTCTGACATTTCTTTCACTGTGGCATCAATGGAGTTAGTTATTTGGGATGGTTTGTTCCTTTGCTTTTTAAAATTGTTCGTATATTTACCCATCTATTGTGAATAGTTATCTCTTCTTCTTTTAAGTAAGGAACTACTTTATGAGTTTCTCTCTTTTAAGAGCCCTGGGTTAATCCAGATATTATCTTTAAATCAAAGTGTGACCTTTGCTGATCTCAATATCAGCACCACTTTGAGAGGTGCCACTGAACCCTGTTTACTACAGTCACTTCAGAGCCAAGCCTCATACTATTCAGCTGTATGAGAAACAAAAAGCTTGCTGATATTTTTCTTTATATTTCCTCTAATCCAGATATAATCTTATAAAGTTCTGGAGTAGGTAAAAAATTAGTTATTAAATTTAGTAAAATTGCAATAACTTTAAACGAGTGCTAAAATAGGGGAAAGAAGAAAGTTGGGCCAAAAGGAGAAGGGAAAAAGAAAGAAAGAGAGAAGTAGAGAGGAAAAAATAGAAAATAATAATACACACCACAATGTAGAAAGGAGAAATGGATGGATGGTGGGTATTTGAGGTAGTAGCTGATAATGTAAGTAGTGGGTAAGAGGAACAGGTATAAACCAGAGCTAAGAAAACAAAGAGAGAAAGCCTGATTCCAATTGATGCTTTAAACCATTAGATGAAATACATTCAAATGGTTTGAAGGTACAATTAGAATAACAACTATTGATCAACTCAAAGAGTGATTTATATGACCAAAGTCAACACTGAAGTTATTTATAGTAAGCCATGCCAAGGTGAAGAAAATTTTTGTTGAATCTTGGTTTGGATTTCATTGGGGTTTGGATGTTTAGTAGATGTCCATCGTTCTTGGACTGTGAATCCTTCCAGAGTTGCTGGGGCACAGGAACCACTTCCCTAGTTGCTATGGACCTCCAACCAGGTGGTTGTGGTTTGTTAGCTCAGGGACCTGCAGCTGACTGCTCGAGGGTACACTGTTGTGGCTTGGTTATTTCTGTTATGTGCAGGAGTTCAGGATGCAGGCTGTGGAGTATTCCTGTGGTTGCTGTGGGTCATTGTGTACCTGTTCCCCTGTCCAGGATCTTTTTCATGGTGGTGTAGAGCCTTGTGGCTGTTAGTGAGTGCAAGATCTTTGTTGTAGAATTTCCATAAATATTCTGTGGTATAGAAGCATTCCCCCAGCTGACACTAGTCTCTGAGGTACTGTAGCGAAGGGACTCAGGTGGTTCACCTGGATTCTGGTTTCTACTGCTCCAGGTTGTAAACGATGTGTGTCATTTCCCTTTGTTGACTCTGATGTAAGGTCCAGCCAGTGTCTAAACAATGCCCTTTCACTCTCCAGTTATAACCTTGGGTTGGGCTGAGAGCCAGGTAAAACTAGGAACATTTACTTGCTGCTGCCTTGGATCAGGCAATTTTCTATCTTAACTGACCTCCATCTGGCTATTTTTGCAGGTGCTTTCCACTTAAGTTTCCAGGGGTATTCAGGAATTTCTCCTTGCAGCCTTCTGCCCCTGGCTGCACCATTTGGGATCTGGATCTCTCTGTCACTGGATATTCAGGCAGCTTTCTTCCAGTCTGGCCCATGATCAATGGGACTGTTCCTAGGCTACCTACAGTGGCTCCCCCCAGTGTCAGTGATGGGGGCTGGTGCATTCTGGATGGATCTGCTTTTCTCTACTGGGGCCAAAGCCACATTGCTGCTCCACCACTGTCTGGGTCCCATGGAAGCTGTGCTTTTCACCTTTGCCTGGGTCACAGAGGCTGAGTAGAGTGCTGAGTAAAGTGCTCATAGGATGTCTCCAACATCTCCCCTTGTTTGCAGGGAGGGGGAGTGGGATTCAGTGATTTGGGGCTAGGAGCATTTCCTTAGAAGTTCTTTTTAGCTGAATTCTCAAGAGATCCCACTGCAGAGACCTTTCCTCTCATTTAATTTGCAGCTGTCTGGACATGGGAAGATGTCATGTTGTTTTATGGGGTGACTAATAAGGGCTCCACAAGATGGCTGCAGACCCCAGTTCAACTTTCTTTTCACAAGTTCGTTTTAAGCTGTTTGATCTGCTTCAGGGACTCTGCTGTGCCTTTTCACAAAATTTGGTAACTTTGGTCTGCCTTTTCAAATGATTTTAAGTGGGTGAGCTTAAGAGTTTTCCATTCCGTCTTTCTCTCTCTGTTGCCCCTCCCCCTTCTCCCTACCCTGGTTCAAGTTCAGGATTAGAGAACTCTGCACTTATTTTCTACTCTAGTAACTGATCTTCAAGTCTCTCCAGGTCTCAGGATTTGTAATGTTGAGTCTTAGAGCATTTATTTTGTCACCCACCTCCCAATTCTGCTTTTCCTTCACTGCCTGTTCTCTGTGTTGTGAAGAGATTGGGAATTGCTGTCTAGCTAATTTCTGCTGTCTTCTGTTCCCTCAATTCTTTTATTTTAAATCCATAGTTTTATTTGCTTGCAGTGTATCTTAAGTAATCAAAAAGATGGATTAAAATGTACTCTTCTTTTATTTCCCAGTATCAGAACTGATACCATTTTCCATGGAGCTACCAATCCAAAAGCTGGAGCTCATCCTTGAGTCACCTCTTTCACTTCTTCCACATAATCTGTTCATAAGAAAAGCTACCTGCTGGCTTATTGTATTGTCAATAATTTCTTAAACACTCTCCCTTATGGAAATTTTAGTCCCAGTTTTTCTCAAAGAGTAAATAATCATAGTATAAATGTATGAGTGTTGTGATTGAAAAGCCAGCTCTACCTCCAAAATTCCCAAATGTGCCCAGTCCCTTCCATCTCTCCCACTACCTGCCAATGCCATCTTCCATCCAGGAAGACTATAGCAACTTTCAGAGTGCCTCCTCTCTCTACCTGCCCTTGTTCTCTTTACCCTAACCCCACTTACAGCCCATTTATCATACAACTAGAATGGTTCTTTTTAAACAAAGAACACATACCATGTCCCTTCTATCCCCAATGATGTTTAGAATTTCAAATTCTGTACTATATCTTAAGAGAGTCAATATGATATAGCCTCTGCCTGCCTCTTTTCCTCATTAACACTTTTCTTTTTCTTCTGCTTAAGACACACTGAACTTCCTTCTGTTTTGACCACAGAAAACTTATTCCTGCCTTAGGAAGCCTTTGTGTTAGCTGTCCCTTCTGACTGAATTCATCTTTATACCTACATTTTTGTGTGGCCTGCTCTATCTATCTATCTTAATTTCATTTATTGCCCAGTTTAAAATATCACTGTATTTACTCTATTTACTCTTTACAATGTTAATACTATTTTGGTTTGTTTATGGTTCTCATCAGTCCCTAGTATTTCTTTTAGAGTTGGTTATTTTTTTTAATATTTATTTTTAGGTGGACACAGTATCTTTATTTTGTTTTTATGTGGTGCTGAGAATTGAACCCAGTGCCTCACGCATGCTAGGCGAGCGTGCTACCACTTGAACCACATCTCCAGCCCTAGAGTTGGTTACTTTGTCATTGTCAATATCCCATTGCTAGGTATAAGCCTTGTGAGAGTGGGCTCCATCTGACCTGCTCCCTGTCATTTCCAGAGCCTTGATCTTTACATGATGCAGGCACACATTCAGTAATTACTGATTGAGTAAGCTAATATCTGTTGCAATATTATTTATTGCACTCTGACACTTCCCACAGTGGCACTAATGAAACCCTGTGTTTCACAGAGCTCCTTAGGGGAGGTGGTGTCTTCACTTCTTTTTCCCTTGAAATTTATCTGAATGTCCTGGTGGCTGGCCTGGGATATGAAGTACAATAATAATACAGGACATACTCAGAAATACCCTGTTCCTGATAACCTGATCTTTGGTACTAGATCAATCCAGGTTCTTCCTCCCATTGAAGGTGCTTCCCTCTGAGTACCTCAAGCCACCTTCCTATAGATTTCTTCCATACATGTCTATTATCCTGCTTTTTCCTCTAGTCTTTATTCCCATCCTTTCCTAAAATTTCAAGGCTATATTTATATTAACTATCCTTTTGTATTTTGATGTCACTTTTCTTTATTCTTAGTGCAAGAGAGACTAAACTTTTTTGATTACTTTATTTGCTTACTATAGGATGGGAGAACTTGTTTGAAACCACAGTTTCCAAAGAAGAAAATCTGGAAGTCATGGAAAAACTCATAGTTGATGATTTCAGACTGGGAAAAGTCTACATGAATGAAGACAAGTTAGAGAAGCAACAAGGCAAAAAGAACAAAGTTTTCAGAAAAGTGTTGTTTACCATCAAAAAAACCTGTGTGAAAGACAGAAGAAGCTTTAAAGGCCTTGAACTTGAGAAAAATCTTGGCTTAAAATCATCACTTACTAGAAAACCTGGAATTGTTCCCAGAGGAAGGAAACCCCGTTCACAGCAGTATTCAATTCTCTTTAAACAACTGGGAGCCAACACAGTGCGTAAATGTTATAAATGTAATATCTGTGGGAAAATCTTCCTCCACAGTTCTTCCTTGAGCAAACACCAGAGGATCCATACTGGAGAGAAGCTCTATAAATGTAAGGAATGTAGGAAAGCTTTCAGCCAAAGCTCATCCCTGACACAGCACCTGAGAGTTCATACTGGAGAGAAACCTTATATATGTAGTGAATGTGGAAAAGCCTTCAGTTTTACCACCTCTCTTATTGGGCACCAAAGAATGCACACTGGAGAGAGACCTTATAAATGTAAGGAATGTGGCAAAACATTTAAAGGTAGTTCATCCCTTAATAACCATCAGCGAATCCATACTGGAGAAAAGCCCTATAAGTGTACAGAATGTGGGAGAGCATTTAGTCAGTGCTCATCTCTCATCCAGCATCACAGAATTCATACTGGAGAGAAACCTTATGAATGTAGTCAGTGTGGGAAAGCCTTCACTTCAATATCACGGCTGAGTAGACACCATCGAATTCACACTGGAGAGAAACCCTTTCATTGTAACGAGTGTGGGAAAGTGTTCAGTTACCATTCGGCCCTTATTATTCATCAGAGAATTCACACTGGTGAGAAACCGTATGCCTGTAAAGAATGCGGGAAAGCCTTTAGCCAAAGCTCAGCACTTATACAACATCAGAGGATTCACACTGGAGAAAAACCCTACAAGTGTAATGAGTGTGGCAAGGCCTTCTCCTGGATCTCACGGCTTAATATCCATCACAGAATCCACACTGGAGAGAAACCATATCATTGTAAGGAATGTGGAAAAGCTTTTAGTTCCCACTCAGCTGTTAATACCCATCGAAAAATCCATACTGGCGAGAAACCTTATAAATGTAATGACTGTGAAAAAGCGTTCAACCAAAGCTCAGCCCTAATTCAGCATCAGAGAATTCATACTGGAGAGAAACCATTTAACTGTAAAGTGTGTGGGAAAGCTTTCAGACAAAGTTCATCCCTTATGACACATATGAGAATTCACACAGGAGAAAAGCCTTACAAATGCAAAGAATGTGGGAAAGCTTTTAGTCAGAGCTCATCTCTTACTAATCATCAGAGGACTCATAATTGAGAAAAAACATAAATAAAATGCATGTGGCAAGTCTTCCAAATGAAGTTCATTTCATATTGAATATCATTCATTCTGGGGAGAAAGCGAAGAGCCGTTAATTTTGAGTAAAACTTCAGAAGTTAGAAGACATCAAGCACCTGGACACTTCATGTTGCAGGGTAACCTTGGGAATATTAGGAAAGCTTCTGTAAAATGATTTTTTGTATGTTCTTAAGTTGTTACCGACTGAAATAGACTCTGTGAGATTGAAGGGTTGATATTCTTTTATTTGCTTTCTAGTGATGTTTTAACAGCCATCAGCTTTCGCAGGCATTACTGGGAACCTGCTGGTTTAGGTAAAAGTACAGCCATAAAGCCCAGACTTCAGACAAATCTAACAATCTACTTCTTGAAACTGCATTTAAGTATTACACAAGCCAATTGTACCAGAATGAATATTTGGGAACAAAAATGTATACAGGTAAACTGTAGCTACCTCACTGTCACTAAAATTTTTTTCATATTTGGAAAACAAATTATGTACTTGGTTGTTGTTCAAACTTTGGGTCATTTCTCCACTCTTCTAAGCCATTTACCCGAGGGGAAAATTACTCTGTAATCTATGCAGGTACGTTCTTTTTAGTTTTCTTTCCAACTACTTGTTTCACCCTCTGATTCAGATATAAAGTCATTTTATTTTAAGTCACAAAGTGCATGGTGTTTCACTTGTTTTTCTCAGAAAGTGATTACCTTTTCTGTATTGTAAAGGTTATTCAGACAACTGCTGCTTTTGCAATTTAATCTACTTGTCAGTGTTGTTAGAACTTATATCACATTGTAGCCATAGGGAAAACAACTCTTAGTTTCCTGGCTGTGCCTGCTTCCTTGAGCTCTCTGGTTTCCAATCACCAGAAAACCCCAGAACCGATGTGGAACTCAAGGAGATAAAGTGAACCAGGTGACTCAATCTTATATTCCATTTTTGCTCCCATCAGACAAAGCTCACTCCCTCCCCACACTCTGAAGGCCACTGGGCAAACATTCAGTTTTTGTTTCAGATTTTTTTCCTCTAAAACATTGACAATTTAGCCCATTTCAGCATTTATAAAAAATGAGTCATATTAGTAAACTTCACAAACCAATTTGCTAAATTCCTTCAAGTCCTCATCTCTTTTAAGTTTCTCCAAACTTAAAAAAAAATTGAAAATGTGATATTTGGAATGGAAAACAAGCAGAGTAGATATCAGTACATTCAGCTTTTGCCTTCTGGGAATAGTGAGTGTCATTATTTCATTCATTTATGGAGCAGTTTTCCAGGCCATTTAATGCTCCATCTGCAAGTGCTTCTTTCCCCACAAATATTCCTTTATTTCTAATTACCTAAAGTAGGAAAATTTCCAGGAAAACATATCTTTCTCAAGTATTAATAGACTTAAAATCATCAAGGACGTTAAATCTGATTTAAAATCCCACAAAGATAACATATGGCCCTGTTATTTTTCAAGCAAGATTGATTAAATTTTTAAGTAATATTAAGTTTTACAATCTTCCAGAAAAGGTAATGTGTAAGCACAATAATTCTAATATAACCCAAAACCAAAATTAGGCAAGGAAAATGCGAAAAAGGAAAATTGCAAGTTGCTGTTATCCATGAAGAGATGTAAAAAATGCTAAACAAAAGCTTAGCAAAAGTAACCCAAAAGTACCTAAACCCATTTTGTCCCATCATTCCAGATACAGAACAACTATAAAAACTTATATCAAGCAATTAATGTACTACTATGGTAACTGAAATAATACTCGAATATTTATTATGTTCACAGACTTGAGAACTTAGGATTTAATTGGTTAATAGCATCATGATGAATTTTGGTTTATTTACTGAAAACCTGCAGAAATGTTAAAACATTAAAAACATTTATAACTGAAGGAATAGGAGAAAGAATGAACTGTTCAGTAATGCTATAGGACATAGAAATGGTCCCACAGAAAAAACAAACAACCTGGACCCTACCCCTCACATAACAGTTGTACAAAAGGCAAAATTATAACTTTCATAAGAACATGTAAGGAATAACTAGATGGCCTTGAGGCAGGGAAGGAGTTCCTAAAACAAATGAGCTGTGTGAAGTTTTTGATATATTTGCTCCCATCAAAGAATTGCTTACCAAAATACACCAAAAAAGGAATGAAAAGTCATGACACAAAACAGATCTTTCAGCAGTATGCTCAGTGGACTATTATAATCCAAAAAAGTTCAAATAATTTTTACAAATTAACATTTAATAGGATAAAATGATGTGGAATACATGACTACAGAAGAGAACACCAATTTCCAAAATCATGAAATGATAGTAACTTTATTAGAGGTTTAAAATTTACCAATTACAAATGAGAAAAAATTAAGATGTGTAACAGTACAGAAGTTTGGGATATATGTAGAATAACTAGAATTCATCCTGTACTGGAGGGAATGTATGATCATTGACATCTTTTTTAAATTATGTATTTCCCTTTTTATTGATTTTTTTTTTAATATTTATTTATTTATTTTTAGTACTCGGCAGACACAACATCTTTGTTGGTATGTGGTGCTGAGGATCGAACCCGGGCCGCACGCGTGCCAGGCGAGCGCGCTACCGCTTGAGCCACATCCCCAGCCCTGATTTTTTTAAAAAATAAATGACAGCAGAATGCATTACAATTCTTATTACACATATGCAGCACAGTTTTTCATATCTGGTTGTATATAAACTATGTTGACACCAATTCGTGTCATCGTACATCTACTTTCCAGTAATGATGTCCATCACATTCCACCATCCTTGCTAATCCCCTGCCCCCTCCCATTCCCTCCCATCCCTCTGCCCTATCTAGAATTCATCTATTCCTCCCATGCTCCCCCCCACACACACACTATGAGTCAGCCTCCTTATATCAGAGAAAACATTCAGCATTTGGTTTTTTGGGGATTGGCTAAATTCACTTAGCATTATCTTCTCCAATGCCATCCATTTACCTGCAAATGCCATGATTTTATTCTCCTTTATTGCTGAGTAAAATTCCATTGTGTATTATGCCACTTTTTTTTTTATCCATCTACTGAAGGGCATCTAGGTTGGCTCCACATCTTGCAATGTGAAACATATGCATATCATTTCATAGAGGCTTCACTGTGTGAATATATACATACTAACATAGAATAATGGAACAAGTAGTCTAGCTGTATACACACCCACAGCAAATATACCAGATAATGTTTGTACATGGACATCAGACATTGATAAAGATACTCTGAGGAGCAGTGATCATAATAGCAAATAATTTTAAGTAGTTTGAATGTCCATTAATAGAAGAATTGGTAAATTTTGAATATTAACACAGAATAGAGAAAATGAATGAACTGAAACTAAAAATATGGATGAGTTTGACAAAAACGTTGAATTTTTAAAAAGTTATAGGAAACAATACATAGTATGATGAAACTTTTTGCAAAATTAAGTTTATATTAGGTGATACATACAAATGGTAAAGTTGTTAAAAACATGAAATGATTGAGAAAGTATTCTGGTTATCCATCTCTAACAAGTCACCCCAAAATTTGTTGCCTAAACACCTTATTAATATCTATCAATATTAATATTTGGGGGCTTAACTGAGCAGTTCTTACTGTTCAGTTGATTTCTGTTTTCATGACAGCTGAGGCTGAAGGCTCAATTGTACTGGATGTCCAAGATGACTGGCAGTTGATGATGACTGCTGGCTGAGAGCTCAGTTGCTCATCCTTGGGGCTTGGGCTTCTCATAGATGTGTGGTTGGTTTCTGAGATGGAGTGATCCAAGAGCAAGCATTCCAAGAGACCTAGGTAGAGGATGCAAATATCTTACAAGCCAGCTTTGGGAATCACATGGCATTGATTCTGCTGTATTGAAAGAGATGGTTCTTATTGGGGGCCATCTTTGGAGATTAGTTAACTCCTATACTCAAAATTCAGGGCAGGGATTTACTTTCCAAGTGTAAGGCAAAGAAATGACTTGGGGAGAAGCACAGATTCTCAGATGGCTTGGTGCCCAAGAAAGACTCCCTCTTTGGGAAGAGGCTGCTCAGGGCAGCCAGAGCAAAGATGGATAGGAATATCAGGGTGTAGTCAATATAAATAAGCAAAACTTTTTGGTCCAACTCTATCTTGAGGAAGAATAAAACAGAGGTCCTAATACCTGAACACCCTGGATGAGGGAGACATCAAGTGAGGAACGAGAAACTTACCAAATATCAAGGGTTGGGGATTCCTGTTAAACTGACATGAATTGGTCACAGGCACACACCTGTAATCCCAGCAGCTCAGGAAGCTAAGGCAGGAGGATTTTAAGTTGAAAGCCAACCATAGCAACTTAGGCCCTAATCAGCAAGACCCTTTCTCAAAATGAAAAATAAAGAAATGAGGTTGTGGCTCAGTGGTTAAGCACCCCAGGTTCAATCCTTGGTACCTGAACCAAAAAAAACAACCCTGACAAGTGGGAGTTGTTTGCAAAGACTGGTATAGTCAGGCCAAAGACAGGATGGAAGCCAAAGTTGAGGCCTAATGAAAAACAGAATTGAGAGGAGCAAACTAAAGTTTTCTTGGTCTCTCGAGCAGAGAGTCTTTCTCCATTGATCATGTTACCAAAATTCTAGCCAGAGGCCTGACTTTCCAATAAACAACATCTGGCCATTTGCCCCCCAAAACAAGCAGAAAAAGTAATGGTGAAAGGCAGGAAAGTAAACTAATCAATATGTTCATATTGGGAATACGAAGTTTGAGAGCCAGCATTCAGCAGTGTCTTAAGGGTGCTGGCAGGAGGGTTAGGTTTAAACAGAGTTAAGAATTGGGCAAGAGGTATAACCAGTTAAGCAATCTGGGTCAAATGTGGTCTGATTGAGCTTCAGAGAAGTCTTTATCTCTTAAGGGGCAATTCCACTTGCTGCTCAGGATGTTTATCAGATCTCTGATCCTGGAAGGGTGAGATTTAGTTCCCATGATATGATTGCACCTGCTTAGTGGGCAGAGTCATGGGGATGACTTCCTGGAAGGTGTGGGACAAAGACTGAAGACTTCTAGGTGCCACTCTGGGGGTCTGAAACAGGATATTATAAAAGCAGATTGTGCTGCATTTGCAAATCCCTCAGTCTTGAGCGGGGACAAGATAGGTTAGGTAAATTCAGGTTTAATAAACATTGTATTCCTCATTTTTAGATGAATACTCCTTAAATGATTAACATGCCTATGTGAAGAGCTGAGCAGTGACCTGACTCTAAAAGTTTTAAGATGAAGTTTCATCCTGCTTTCAGTTACCCATTGGGCATGCAGGCCTAATTGAAGTCACTGCTTTTAGCAAAAGCAGCCTCAATCCCTTTTTTTATTTTAAGACAGGGGCTTCTTGCTAAGTTGCCATGGCTGGTGTAATGGATTTGTGATTCTCCTCCCTCAGCCTCCTAAGCAGCTGGGGTTGTGCCACCATGCCCAGCTAGTAGTAGTATTATGTTCCTTGAAAAGGCCAGGCATGATTCCATTTTGGGGAAATTTGAATCTGCTTTTTATTTTGCTAGCTGACACTGGGCATATTTGTCTTCTGCAGTTCTTTCTTCAAATGTCACCTACTTCATGAAATGTTTCTTAATTGCCCAAACTCTCCTCCCCCTCTGTGTTCCCATTTCTCTTTCTCTGATTAGCAAGACATAATAATTCTTATCTTTTTTCTCTTCCACAGCAGAATTTAAGCCACATGTGTGCAAAAAGGTTTTGCCAGGTTTATTCGCTGTTGTATTTCTAGTGTTATCCCTCTTTAACTGTGGGGCAGTGATTTCAGGACTCCCTGCCCAAGATATCCTAAGTCATGGATGCTTAAGTCCTTTATATAAAATGGCACAGTACTAGCATATTATGAATTATATCTAATGCAGTGCCTCCACATCATTTCATTCATGGATCCAGCATAGTACCTTGCAGTGAAACAAAATCTAAATTTTAACTTGCTTTTTGGGAACTTTTTGGATTTAAACTCTTTTTGGTTAACTCCACCGACGAGTGAACCCGCAGATAGGGAGGGCCAACTTTATATAGCAGATTCCATTTATATGAAGAACAATATAAACACGGTTTAGGGACACATACATACGGTATAACTATAACACTGAGCAAAGGAACGCTGATAACAAGGAAGATACCACGGGGAGCATTGTGGACAAGGCTTCCAAAAATTTGGCGAAGTTCAGCCAGGCGTTTACTGAGCATTCGACTGCTTTTCAACTGTACCTACGCCCATCTTATGCGTTAGGTCATTAAAAATAATCATGACTAGTAGTGGAAACTACAGCACACTGATTCTCCTAAATACAACTAAATTAGGGTTTTGTTTAGTTGCTTCATGTTGCCGCCTAACAAAACAAGACTGGCGGCTGACCAGGGCAGCAAGGGCAGGAGACTACCCATCCTATTTGCCCCAGGCTCCCTCCCTGGCACTGCAGATTCGCGCGGACCACTGGGCTGGGAACTTCGTGAGCGAAGAGACTTTAATCCGCCGGAGGTCGCCTTGCCGCGGCTCCCTCTGGGAAGTGTAGTCGGCGGGTGCCCGGGGAATGCCGGGAGTCGTAGTTTTTCTGGGGTTCGCGGGACGGAGGGGACTGCTCGCGGCCTTTCTGGGGGGCTCTTGGCGAGTGTTAGGATCCCGAGTCTACTAGGACGGCCCGCCCGGAGCTGAGACGCTCCCGGCTGCCTCTTTCAAGCCGTGGCACGAGCCAGCGCTTCTCTCCGTGTGAGTGGGGCCACAGTATGGGGATGAGAGGGCCTGCGGGGAGTCGAGGACAGGCCCTGAGCTGCGCGGGGCCGCGCGGCCCGTAGGTCCAGAGGCGCCGGTCGGCCGGCGACCTGGGGGCCCTGGTTCTGCGCCGCATCTCACTGGCATCTGGGGGACCCTCGGGGAGGAAGCGTTCCTGCTAGGCGAGCAGGGGTGTGCCGGGGATGGCAGTGGGCGTGTGCCTGTCAGTCTTTTGTGGCTTCTTTAGCGAAGCAGAAATAATAAAAACAACAATAGCTAATATCTGCAGGGAAAGCCCATGCATGTGCCCGGCACTAGAAATGAATGTACTCATCTGATGCCAAGTCATAGGCTGGTTGGTTTGCCCTATAACTGTTCCCATTTAATAGATAAAGATCCTGGGCTCAGAGTGGCCAGATAATTGCTGAAATTAAACCTTGTACTAGGACTAGGACTCCCTTCTTTTTTGTTTGTTTGTTTGTTTTGTTATGTTGGGCATGTCCCGAATCTGTAGTTCCCAGTCTTCCTCACATCCATAGAATGTGGTAGGAATACGGTACTCTGCATCTCCTTGGGATTGGTCCCAAGACCTCACGCAACCATCTAGGATACCCAAATCCTTGGATGTTCAAGACCTTTCTATAAAATGATATAGTATTTATATATAACCTATGGGCATCCTCTGCTATTCTTATCCGTAGATTACTTATAATACCTGATGTAAGTGGTTGTTACACTGTATTGTTTTTTTTCCCCTTGCATTAGCAAGAAGAAAAATCTGTGCATGTTCCATACCAAAACAATTTTTGTTTTATATCTGAGGTTGATTGAATATATGGACGTGGAATGCACAGATACAGAATGGCTGTATTTACTTTTAAGTTGTTGTGAAGATTAAAAATAATAGATTAAAAGCACTCAGGATTCCTGCTGTGGAGAAGATTGTGTATTATCATAGGTGACTACTTCTCTAACAGTTTCCCTTGATTGGCTGAGGTGCTCCACCTGGAGATTTCATAGCACATTCAGCTTATTCTGCTTTCTTGCCAGGGATGGCATCCTGAGTGCCCTATTGCAAACTCAAGACAGATTTAGTGCATAGGAAGCTAAGGCTCCTCTGGCTGTTCAGACACCCTCTGATCTTGCTATCTACAGAGCAATTGGCGTTTCCACCCCTCCCAACTGGTATGTGTATATGGGGAGAGAAGGGTTATTTGGAGCTGTGGATGTCCTTAAGCATAGCTCTGCAGGATCAATATTTTGGAGCAACTATATGGCATATGTTTTGGGCTAGGGACAGTGTTTTAAATCATGTTATTTTGGTATGGTAAGGCTAGGCACACATCAAGAGAGAGAGGTTGGGAAAGTTTAAAGATTGTGTTTTACTCACAGTTCTTGAGAATATAGCACTCTACAGAGGCTCACTCAGGGAAAGCACCTTTGTTGTGATTTCCACAGGAAGGAAAGGGCAAGACAGAGCAGACAGGCCTAGGATCAGCTAGCTATGTTTGAAAGTGCTATCCCTGGGAAATTCAAGTTCATTGTGACTATTAGAGTATACAGTTTTAAACTCTGAAAGACCCTTTTATATGAGTCACAATTTGGTTAGAGGAAGCTGATAGCTTAGATAGGGGGTGAAGTTTGGCAAATTGGCTAGGTCAACATTCTTCTTTTTTGGTTTATATAATATATGTGGCTTTGTTGGGACCTGATGGAGGTTATAGACAGTTGTAACTCCCTCTCTTCAAGCCACATCTTGACACCAGAGTTTTTCATGGTACCTTTTTCCTTTCCAGACCTACCTTGTCAGCACTCTATTCTCCTTTGGCAAGAAAATTAAGAAGGAAGGGATGGCTACGGACTTGCTGCCTGCTCAGGTGACAGTAAATGAAGTTTATCTTTTCTAGGAATTGCCTTCTGGCTTCAGAGATGTGAGCAAATTTACATATTTTTTCCAGGTATTTTTATACCCATTAAAAAAGAATCCAGAACCTTGAAAGTTTTTCCTAGGATCCTGGGCTTATTGTGGGGCTGCTGAGGAATGTGCTTCTTTGTCCCCAAAACACTCCTAATTACCCAAACTTACTTCACCAAAATTTGAGTCAATGCTGAATATATGCTTCCTATTACAGTAGGAGTTTAGTACAGGGTAATAGTCTTTGGCTTTGCACTTGAGGCAAGGACTGGAAAGATCAAAAGACTCTCAATGAACATTTATTGAACACTGACTATGTACAGTATTCTGAGCATCATAATGGGAATATTTCCATCTTCAAGGAGTTTATTCTACTGAACTAAATGTCCAAGAAGATTTATGGGAAATATCCTAAAAGTGGAGTCATTTGGAGTTGTTCCTGAAGGCCAGGACTGCTGTTGGTGGTTAGAGAAGAACAGGCATATCCCAGAAGTTCAGCCTGGCTTGGGTTTTGAGGCTGGCACTAGGGAGGACAGAGGGCTAAGCCTTCCCTATGCCTAGTGCAGTCATGATGTTGAACTGGCCATTATCCCTATTAACTGTCTAGTAGATGCCTTTATCTCTTCATCTGATTCTCTGATTTTTTTATTTTTATTTAATTTTTTTTAATATTTATTTTTTAATTTTTAGGTGGGTACAATATCTTTATTTTATGTGGTGCTGAGGATCGAACCCAGTGCCTCACAGGTGCTAGGCAAGCACTCTACCACTTGAGCCACAACCCCAGCCCCTGATTCTCTGATTTTTAAAAACATTTATTTTTTAGTTGTAGTTGGATACAATACATTTTATTTATTTATTTATTTATTTTTATGTGGTGCTAAGGATTGAATCCAGGGCCTTGAATGTGCTAGGCGAGAGCTCTACCACTGAGCCACAACCCCAGCCAGATTCTCTGATTTTTTAATTTCCTTTTCTTTTTTTTTAAATAAAAAATAAATTTATTAAGGTCTATTTACATACAAGACACTCATTTTAAGTGAATTACTCCATGGTATTTCACAAATGTACACATATATTTAACTCAGTGATAACAAGACATAGAACATTTCTATCACACCGAGCAGTTCTATTACACATCCTTTTTTTGTTAATAAATCTCTTTTCCTTTTTGAGATCCAGTGTCATTACTTTTATCATTACCTTTCTGAGGATCTCACCCAAATTTCTGTCCTGAGGCTTGTCCTAAAGTTTCAATCTATCATTCCCAAATCCTTATAAAATATTTCCATGTGAAATTCCCATTCTTTCTTCCAACATCAGTCTCTTTCCTGTTTGTCTCTCTTCTGTGAATTTTCTATTCTGCCATATCCCAGAGGCTCTGTTTCTCACTGGCTGCTTTTCCAAAAAGTAGTGATAGTCCATGGGTTAGAAACAAGGACTTTTTTTTTTCTTTTTAAGAGAGAGAGAGAGAGAGTGAGAAAGCACGAGAATTTTTTAATATTTATTTTTTAGTTTTCGGTGGACACAACATCTTTATTTTATTTTTATGTGGTGCTGAGGATTGAACCCAGCGCCCGGTGCATGCCAGGCAAGCGCGCTACCACTTGAGCCACATCCCCAGCTCAGAAACAAGGACTTTGAACCTTGACTTTGTGGGCTCATATCCAAGCTAGGCATGTGACCTTGGGCAAGTGATTTTATCTCTTTTATTATTATTATTATTTTATTTTTATTTTTTAGTTGTAGTTGGACACAGTATCTTTGTTTTTTTTATTTATTTTTATATGGTGCTGAGGATCGAACTCAGCTTGTTGCACATGATAGGCAAGCACTCTACTGCTGAGCCACAACCCCAGCCCTGATTTTATCTCTTTATACCTCATTTTCTCAATTTAAGTGGGTTTAGTGATATACATACCTCTTAGAACTAATCTAATAACAATGCTAAAACATAATTACTACATGCCAAGTATTATGTTGTTACTACATACAAAAAATATTTATTCTTAGATAAAGAAAATATAGTATATATACACAGTAGAGTTTTACTCAGCCATAAAGAATGAAATTATATCATTCACTGGTAAATGGATGGAATTGGAGAACATCATGCTAAGTGACATAAGGCAGACTCAGAAAGTCAAGAGTTGAGTGTTTTCTCTCATATGCAGAAGCTAGGGAGAAGAAAGAAAAGGTGTGTTGGGGAGAATCTCATGAAAATAGAAGGGAGACCAATAGAACAGAGGAAAGGGATTGAGAGTTAGGGAGGAAGGAAGGCCACGGGAAGTACTGGGGAATGAAATCTACCGAATTAGGCTGTTATATGCATAGTGAATATTTATTAGTGAATCATGCATGTATATGTGTGTGTTTATTTGTATATATAATGATAATATCCTAATTAAAATAATAATAATAATAGAAGGGAGATCAATAGAGTAGAGCAAGTGGATCAGGGGAGGGAAAGGGAAGGTACTTGGAAAGGAGATAGAACAAACTGTTTTGTGCTTGTACAAATATGACATAAATCCCATTATTATGTATAATTATAATGCACTGGTAAGAAATTTTTAAAATTTATTCTTTTTATGTGTTGATTTCCTTAGTCCTTGCAAGAGGACTACTAATATCTGCATTTTACAGATGAGGAAACTGAGGCACAGAGATGCAAGTCACTTGCTTAAGGTCACATATCTGGTTTTTGAATCCAGACAATTTTTTTCTATTTATTTATTTATTAGTTCTAATCAGTTATACATGACAGTAGAAAGCTCTTCAATTCATTGTACACAAATGGAGCAGAATTTTTCACTTCTCTTGTTGTGCATGAAATAGTCACACCATTTGTGCAATCATACATGTACCTAGGATAATGATGTCCATCTCATTTCACTGTCTTTTCTAACTCTTTGTCCCCTCCCATTCGCCCCATCCAAAGTTCTTTCACTTATCCCAATGCAGACCTCCCCATATGGATTAGAGTCCACTTATCAGAGAAAATATTTGGCCTTTGTTTTTTTGAGATTGGCTTATTTTGCTTAGCATGAAGTTATCCAACATCATCCATTTACCTGCAAATGCCATAATTTTATTCTCTTTTAATGCTGAGTAATATTCTGTTGTGTATATGTTCCACAGATTCTTTATTCATTCATCTATTGAAGGGCATCTAGGTTGCTTCCACAATTCAGCAATTGTGAATTGTGCTGCTATAAACATTGAAGTGGCTGTGTTACGATAGTATGCTGTTTTTAAGTATTTAGGGTGTAGACCGAGAGGTGGGATAGTTGGGTCAAATGGTGGTTCCATTCTAAGTTTTCTAAGGAATCTCCATACTGCTTTCCAGATTGGTTGCACTAATTTGCATTCCCACCAGCAGTGTATGTGTGTGCATTTTCCCCCACATCTTCACCAACACATATTGTGGCTTGTACTCTTGATAACTGCCATTCTGACCGGAGTGAGGTGAAATCTTAGAGTAGTTTTGATTTACATTTCTCTAATTACTAGAGATGTTGCAGACAAGACAGTTTTTTACTGTTCATGTTATACTCTGAGAAAATACAAGTAAAATGCTGAGAACAGTACATAGTACATATTTGATTTCCAAAAATACCAGCTGTTACTATTATTGGCATCAGCAACAGCCTATGCATTATTTTAGGACCAGCCAAAATTGGTACATCTCTTTTTTTAAAATATATTTTTATTTGTAGATGGATACACTATCTTTATTTAATTTATTTTTATGTGGTGCTGGGGAATGAACCCAGTGCCTCATGCATGTGAAGCAAGTGCTCTACCACTGGGCCACAACCCCAGCCCCGGTACATCTCTCTTTACTAGGGTATTCATAACTTTGACTCCTTAATTTCAAAGAGATGGATATTTAAGGAAACAAAGATATAAAGACCAGTAAAATGCCATGCAAAGCAATACCAGCTATAGCCTGGAATACCTTCTGCTCAAAGGTGAGACTCTTCACTATCTGAGCTTTTCCACAGCTCCAAGCTGGAGAAACTTATTTTATTTTAGCTAAGGAAAGATGTAGAAGAGTTTTTGTGGACAGTGAATTCAGTATCTAATTCTTTCAATTAGGTGTCCTGGGGACCCAGGGTGACCCAATTACAGGTGTTGTTACCCTGTTTGAGATAATTCAATGGTGATATCCAATGTCAAGTTCTATCCTCATTCAGCATACTGTGGGACAAATTAGTATTTTTCTGTTAGAAAAATTAAATAGCAAGCAAGCATAATTTTGGGGGGAAAGTAGAATCTTCACAGATTTTATAAATATCTCTTATTTCAATGTAATATAATTTATCATCTGGGGAAAACCACAAGAAACTTGGTGCTGATTGCTTATTAGTAATATAAATGACATCTTTTTGTAGTAAATTGATACCTTTTATTGTTATTTTCACTATTTTTCCTAGAATCTTTATTTTTTTAGAGCTGTTTTAGATTTAGGCAAATATTGCTAAGATAGTAGCCTAGTTATTTTATATATATATATATACCTTGCACCCAGTTTTCCATATTTCTAACATGTTACATTAGTATGCTACATTTGTACAATTAATAAGCCAACACAGTTACCTCATTATTAGCTACAGCTCACACTTTATTTACATTTCTATAGTTTTTATAGTTTTTACCCAATATTTATTTTCTGTTTCAGGATTCCATCCAGGATAGCAGATTACATTTAGTTGTCGTGTCTCCGTAGGCCCTCTGAGCTTTTAGTTTCTCAGACTTTCCTTGTATTTGATGACCATTACAGTTTTGAGAAGTAGTGTTTAGGTATTTTGTAGAATTTCCCTTTATTGTGATTTGTCTAAAGTTTTTCTCATCATTAAACTGGGGCTGTGGGTTTTTGAAAGGAAGACCACAGAGGTAAAGTGTCATTCATCAAATTATATCGAAAATGCATATTAATAACATGATATCACTGTAAATGTTGACCTTAAACATGTGGCTGAGGTAACATTTGTCAGGTTTTTCTAATACATTACTCTCTTTTTCCACCATCCCATACCATAATCTTTGGAAGGAAATCACTGTATTCCACCCACACTTAATCTATGTAAATTATTTGGAAACCTGCAGGGAGGATTGCCATTCTTCCCATTTATTTATTTACTTATTCAACCATGTATTTATATCAGTATGGTGACAGATCTTCCTCTGTCAGTACACACCAATTATGCTTCCTTAAAAAACTTTTCTATCAGATGCCTTGATGTTTGCAATATAAATTTACAATTAGTCTAAGTCCCCCTTTGAGGAAAATTCTGTTGCTTCTGGTAGTACGGGTACCTCTTAGCAGTTTTCTCCATTGTGTCCTTCCATTCCTTATTACATTGCTGTCATTCATTTCACTCATCCCTATGCTATAAACACCCATTACTGGTGTTATTGGTTTAAGCAAACAATTATCTCTTAGTTAAATTAAGAATAAGAAAAACAAAAAGAAATATTTTAGGGCTGTGGATATAGCTCAGTGGTAGAGTTTGTCTAGCATGTATAAGGTCCTGGATCCAATCCTCAGCACCACAATAATAAACAACTTTTAAAAGGATTTTAATTTATCTTCATTTACTCTTCTCTCCTCCTTTCTTGTGTGTATATTCAAGTTTCTAACCTATATTATTATTTTTCTCTCTGAGGAACTTATTTTGCCATTTCTTGCAAGGTAGGTCTGCTGGCAATGAATTCCCTCAGTTTTTGTTTATTTGAGTCTTCTCATCTCTTGTAAAGGATGATTTCCTCAAGAAAGTAGAATTGTAGATTTCTGCTTTTTTCCATACTTCAAATATTTTATGTTGCTTTCTTTTCTAGTTTCTAGTGAGAAAATTCACTGTAAATCTTATCTTTTTACCTTTTACCTTTTCAGGTAAGATATTTTTTTCCCTCTGTCTTCTTTCAAGATTTTCTCCTTGTTTGTTTTCTGCAGTTTGAATGTGATATGCCCAGGTGTAGATTTTTTTGGTATATATTCTATTTGAAATTCTCTGAATTTTCTGGATTTGTGGTTTGGTGTCTGTCACTAACTTGGGAAAATTCACAGCTGTTTTTACTTCAGATGTTTCTTTTGTTCCATTCTCTGTTTCTTCTTCTGGTATTCTAATTACAGTAATTTTAAATGATCAAGTTGTATTTTTAACACGAAAGAATATGCATGATTTATCAGTAAGAAACTTGGGGATATAAAACAGCAATCATCATTTATAACTTCTCAGAGTTTCTCTAGGTCAGGAATGCAGAAACATTTTATATTCACTATACAAAATCTGGGATCCAAAAGACTTAAATTCTGGGGGCTAGAATCATCCAAAGTCTCAGTTGCTCACATGTCTTTGCTCAGTCTGGGGCTGGGGCTGTTGGATGGAGCATCTATGTACGATAACTCCCTGTGTCTTGGCCATGCAATATAGTGCAGCCCTCTCCACAAATATCAGAAAATAATTAGGGTGACAACTTGTATTCTTCTGAACAATTTTGTGTGCACCATTATGTGTGTGTGTGTGTATACACTATTTCAACAAATAGAGATTGTTTTGTCACTTGCTCTTTCATATGAATTGATAATATATTAAGTTCATTTTCTGATGGCAGACATGCTAAGTTACCTCATTCTATTTAATGACTACATAACATTTCATGGATATATATACTATAATTTGCTTATCCATTCCCTGATTGGTAGATATATGGGTTGTTTTCAGTTTTTCACCATTGTTTTAGTTTTCTATTGCTGCCATTAACAATTTACTACATATTCAGTGGCTTAAAACAAGATAAATTTATTCTCTTATTCTACAAGTCAGAAGTCTGAAATCACTTTCACTGGCTTAAGATCATGCTGTCAGCAGGGCTAGTTCTTTCTAAAGACTCCAAAGGGAAAATCTGTTTCCTTGTCCTTTTTATCATCTTGAGGTTGCCCTCAGTCCTTGGCTTGTGGCCCTTTAATCCATCTTCAGTGTATGTCACATCAATCTCTGCTTGTCCTCACATCACCTTCTTGTAACTTACTCCTAGTGGTTCCTTATTATAAGAGAACTATTGTGATCACTTCTGCTCTACCTGGACAGTAATCTAGAATAATTATTCATATTCTGATGGCAGACATGCCAAGTTACCTCATTCCATTTAATGACTACATAACATTTCATGGAATACATGTACTATAATTTGCTGATCCATTCCCTCGTCTCCAGCTCCTTAATGTAAACAGATCTTTAAATCACTTTTGTCATACATGTAACATGTAAAGGTTCAGTATTCGGCCTATGCAACCATTGACTTACAAGTCACATTGCAGTAAGCATCTGTGAACAAATATCCCTATACAGCTACGTAATTATTATTATTTAAAAAAAAAATTTTGGTAGTAGAATCCCAGAAGTAGAAATGCAAAGTTAAAATGTACCCTTTACATTTTGTTGGATTCTCAGCAAAATACCCACCAAAAACATAGGAAGTTTTCTTTTTTTAACACTTTCATAAAATAATTGCCATCTCCCCAGCTCATGCCTTATTGTATTTTGGGGGGCTTTAACTGGGGTTCCGTTCTAAGAAACCAAATAGTCTTGCAGGTCCTGTGATTCCTTTAATTTTCATAGTGAATGGAAACCCATTTAGACAAGATAGTCCAGGGGTCTGCTACCTGACTTCAAACTCTAGCTCAAACATTTTCTAACAGCTTTACCTTGAAAAGGTACTTATTTTTTCTTCCCTTCTTTCTTCCCTTCTCCCCTTGCCCCCACCCCTTCTCTTCTTTCTTCTTGTTTCTTCTTCTTCTTTTTTCTTTCTTTCTTTTCTTTTCTTTTTTTTTTAATTTCCCCCAGCACTGGGTATTGAACCCAGGGACAATCTATCACTGAGCTACACAACCAGACTTTTCCATTTTAATACAGGGTCTCACTAAGTGGCCTAGGCTGGTCTCAAACTTGAGATCCTCCTGCCTCAGGCTCCCAAGTAGCTGGGATTACAAATATATGTCATCATACGTGAAATTAACTTAGTTTTTCTAAACATGTTTCTTCATTTGAAAAATAATTTAATTGTAGTATCTTCCCCATAGGATTTTTTATGAGATTGAACATAGGTAATACATACACAGTTCCTATTTTAGTCCCTAATATTCAGTTAATATTAACTTTTTTGTTGTTGTTTTGTCGTGCTGGGGATTGAATGCAGGGCCTCACACATACTGGGGAAGTGCTCCACCACTGAGCTACATTTCCAATTCTTAAATAATTATATTTTTAAAATTTGTTTTGTGACTTATAAAATCTTTTATATTTATTTATGTTCAGCTAGTGGTATTTTCTCTAGTTTTCCAGCTTCTCTCTAGATGTATCCTGATTATTTTCCTTAGGTATTTAAAAGAAATTAAGTAGCTGATTTGAAATATTTAGAATCCCAAGACATTTTAAGAGTTACTTGCTATGCATCACAGTGTAACCATCTTATCAAGTTTTCATAGAGGAAGATTGATCCTGAGTGAGTATAAATGGGTTTCCCATTCCAGGAGTCTGTGACATTCAGAGATGTGGCTGTGCTCTTCAGCCAGGATGAATGGTTGCATCTGGACTCTGCCCAGAGAACCTTGTATCGGGAGGTGATGCTGGAGAATTACAGCAGCCTGGTCTCACTCGGTAAGGATTTTTGCCTATAATGAAGAATGTGCAAGAAAATCACCTTGGAGTTCCCTTTTTGCAATTCAGTGTCTACAGGTTTCCACCTTGGGAAAAGTTGTATCCTGTAGAAATGAAAGTGAATGTGTTGTGATGATCTTCATGCTATTCTCTTTTCTCACACACTACTCCCAATCAATATTCTTCCATGCAGTAGGCCAGTGACTAAATCCCCAAAACATACAGGACATTTAGATGTTGAAAACATAAGAACACCCTGCCATAGAGGCATTCCTTGCCAGGGCCCTATGTTATTTCTGAAGTAAACCCTGCTTTATGATCCACCACCTGAAAGCTCCAGTCCCCTTATAAGTGTTTGTGCTGCTCATTCCACCTCCTGCAGTTGCCTTCTCTGCCTTTTTGGCTCAGAGTAAGTGGGATGTGAGTTCTATTTGAGGCTGCTATTTATTCAAACTCCATTTCCTTCCACATAAGCAGGAATTCCATTTTCAACACCTAAGGTGATTTGCCAGTTGCAACAAGGAGAAGATCCCTGCATGGTGGAAAGAGAAGCTCCTCCAGACACATGCCCAGGTGAGTGAGATACTGGGAAATGGGCACAAGGGAGTCTTTATAGATTAGCGGGTCATGAAGAGGTAGTGGTCTGGTGACTTTCTTGGAAATACTGGGCCCTGTTGAGATGTTCAGGGCCAGTTGCATTTAATTTAAGCTACATAGTTCACTTAAATACATATAGTTACCTAATCGCAGTTATCTAATCCTGTCTATCAAATCATGGATTGAGTGAAAAAAAAACAGATTTTAACTCCAAATCAATCCAGCTCAAAGTAAATCTTTTCACATAAAACTGAGCTTCAAGACAAATTGATTTCATTTATCTTACAGATTTTCATTATTCCCACAATTCCTACGAGTAAATTATAGTCTTCTGGTTGCAGTTTATTAGAAGAAAACAGTATGTTTCTTTTTCTCAATGATAAAATAGAAAGAGGAAAGGGATGGAAGGGTAGTAGGAAAAAGTTGTTCTTCCTCCAGTCACAAGAGATAAATTGTTTCACATGGCTGATTTATTCCATATTTTTCTTTATAATTAACATCTCAAACTTAGATCAAATATTCTCAACGCAGTCATGCTTCAGGACTATTGTGATTTTTAAAATCTGAGTGTTCTTTTATTTTTTTGGTACCAGGGATTGAACTCAGGGGCACTGAACCACTAAGCCACCTCCCCAGCCCATTTTTTAAAAATTGATTTTATTATTTTTTTAAATACATGACAACAGTGGAATACATTACAATCCTTATTACACATATAGAGCACAGTTTTTCGTATCTCTTTATATAAAGTATGTTCACGTCAATTTATGCCATTATACATGTATTTTTTTTGCATTACAATTCTTAATACACATATATACCAAAATTTTTCATATCTCTGTTTGTATATAAGGTATGTTGACACCCAATTCAAGTCTTCATACATGCACTTTGTATAATGATGACCATCACATTCCACCCCAGCCCATTTTCATATTTTATTTAGAGACAGGTTCTTGCTGAGTTGTTCAAGGCGTTACTTAAGTTGCTGAGGCCGGCTCTGAACTCCAGTTCCTCCCACCTCAGCCTCCTGAGCCGCTGGGATTACAGGCATGCACCACTGCACTTGGCCTGATAGTCTTTTTTTTTTAAGAAAGACTAATTTCCCTTTCACAGACTTTGCTGTGAAATTATAATCACTTTCCTATGAGTCTATGCTATAAAATCACAAAATTTAAGAAAAACAATGTAAATATTTTTAAATTATGAAATGTAGGGTTCAGAGAGAGCATGGGAAAACATATAAGGAAAGTGACATTTGGGTAGAAAGGACAAAGTGAAAACAAGTTACCTGTTTCATTCCCTGGTATGTGCAGAGTGGAAAATGATGAGAAACTGGAAATCTCCTAGTATTGGACTTGAGCGATTCACCCGACATTGTTCTGTTTCCTCATACCTTCTGATCAGCCAGTTCTTATGCATCTAATTTTACTTCTCCCAGGGTACAGTCTCTTCATTTTCAGTGTTAATTTATCTATTATATTCTTCCATATCACCCCTTAACCTCTTTCCGTCTTTTTCCATTATATCATCCTGATTTCTGTCCAGATTAAGTCCACATTTGAGATCAGATGGCATCAAATCTCTTATATGCATTGTTGCCAATTTTATTATCCCTCTGTCCTTTCCAGCAGAAGAAGCATTAATCTTCTGATTTATTTCAGATTTCAAGACTTTGCCTGAGATAGAAGAATTGCCTGCTTCACAGGACGTTTTTATTGAAGCAACAACTCATGGAATAATAAAGAAAAAATCCACTAAGTATGTTCCCCGGGACATCAACTTTGGAGAAACTGTGAAATCTGAGAGGAGCATAGTACAGGAGAAACCTCTTAGGCAAATGGCAGCCTCCCCCAAAAAAACCGTCAGCGGAGGTGGAAACCCTACAAGTCTTGAACTAGAGAAAGGCTCATTGATAAACAAAATTATTGTTTCACAACAGAGTATTCCCATAGAAAGGATACCCAATATGTATTACACTTTTGGGAAAGATTTTACACCAAATTTTGATTTAATGAGATGCTTCCAAATCTACCCAGGAGCAAAACCTCATGTCTGTAACGAATGTGGGAAGAGCTTCACCCAGAGTCTTCATCTTCTTGAACACCAGAGAATTCATACTGGGGAAAAACCCTACAAGTGTAATGAGTGTGGGAAAGCCTTCAGCCACAGGTCTTCCCTTCTTACCCATCAGAGAATCCACACTGGAGAGAAGCCTTACAAATGTAATGAATGTGAAAAAGCTTTTAGCAGCAGTTCAACTCTGATCAAACATCTGAGGGTGCACACTGGAGAGAAACCCTACCGATGTAGGGAATGTGGTAAAGCCTTTAGCCAGTGTTCAACCCTCACTGTGCACCAGAGAATTCATACTGGAGAGAAACTCTATAAATGCAGTGAATGTGAGAAGGCCTTCAACTGTAGAGCCAAATTGCATAGACATCAAAGAATTCATACAGGTGAGAAACCATATAAATGCAGTGAGTGTGGGAAAGGTTACAGCCAGTTTGCCTCCCTAGCTGAACATCAGAGACTCCATACTGGAGAACAACTGTGTCAATGTTTAGAATGTGGGAGAACCTTCACACGCATCTCCACCCTTATTGAACATCGACGGATTCATACTGGACAGAAACCCCATCAGTGTAACGAGTGTGGGAAGACCTTCAACCAGTATTCATCCTTTAATGAACATCGGAAAATTCATACTGGGGAAAAACTTTATACATGTGAAGAATGTGGGAAAGCCTTTGGTTGCAAATCCAATCTTTATAGACACCAGAGAATCCACACTGGAGAGAAACCCTACCAGTGTAATCAGTGTGGAAAGGCATTCAGCCAGTATTCATTCCTTACTGAACATGAGAGAATCCACACTGGAGAGAAACTCTATAAGTGTATGGAATGTGGGAAAGCCTACAGTTACAGATCAAACCTCTGTAGACACAAAAAAGTCCACAATAAAGAAAGACTCTTTAAATGGAATATGGAAAACCTTTTATCTATGGCTCCTCCCTTACTCAGTACCAGAGATACTTGAGATGAGAGAAGCCTACGAACTTTAATTCATCTCTTTCATAATCCAGGACTTTTCACTGGACAATAATCAGGAGAATAGTAAATAAGGGGACCTAATAGATTTAATCTTTTTACTTTTATAGGAAAAAAGCTAGTTACACTAAGTCACGGTAAATAGACGAGTGAAAATATGAAGAGCACTGACTTTTCATTTTATAAGAACCACTGGATTCTAAGGTTTCCAAAAACTTTTCATTTTTTTAAATTTGTAGAAAAATTATAAATGTCCTCACTTTTTAAAAAAGCATAAATAGTAGTTGAATAAGTTTTCTTTCTCTGTCATTAGATCGTAATCTCTAAGAGTAAGCTTTAGTTTATGAATTTCCTTTAAAAAATAGTGATTGAGTTAATGTGAATAAGCATGGGGTCTCATTTCTAAAAATGTCAGGTTCAGGTTGCAGATAGTGGCACATACCTATAATCCCAATGACTTGGGAGCATGAGGCAGGAGGATCACAAGTTCAAAGCCAGCCTCAGCAATTTAACAAGACCCTAAGAAACTTAGTGAGATCCTGTCTTAAATGAAAATAAAGGACTGGGGTTATGCTCTGTGGTAGAACCCTTGCCTAGCCGCTTGCCTAGCATGTGTGAGGCACTAGACTCAATTCTCAGCACCACATTATTTATTTATAAATAAATTAAGTAAAAGGCCCATAAACAATATATATATATATGAATGAATAAAAATAAAGAGTGCTGAGATGGGTAGAGCTGGATTGTGACTCAGTGGTAGAGCACTTGCTTAGCACACGTGAGGCACTGGGTTCAATCCCCAGCACCAAATAAAAAAAACTAAATAAACAAAGTTATTGTGTCCATCTACCACTAAAAAATATTAAAAAAAAAAAAAAGTGCTGGGATGGAGATGTGGCTCGGTTAAGTTCCCCTGAGTTCAATCCCTGGTACCATAAACAAAACAAATGAAAATGGCAAGTCAACATCGGTAGCTTTCCTATTAATAAAAAGTTATTAAAGATAAAAAGGAATTCTTTAAATTTAACTTTTCATGTGGAAATGACAAAGCTCTTTTTGCCCCATAGCAAGTTATATGTATATGTGTGTGTATATACACACACATTTATGTATACACATGTACAGTCAAAGTAAAATTAGATACACATGTGTCACTTAACAGTGGTTATGTTTTGAAAACAATGTTTTTGTCTAACAATGCATTGTATAGTTACACACAGCTTGATGATCTAGATAAATTTGAATGCCCTCTTGATGCAATCAAGAAATGCGGAAAAACACAAGATATATGGAGCTGCTATGATGTAACATAGCATACTGTTTTGTAGTATTTTTTATGAGTAGAAGGTGTATAAAATTACAAAAAGTATAGCATAGTAATATGTAAGCCAGTAATAGTTGTTTATCGTTATTATCAAGTATTATGTACTGTAATAATTGTATGTGCTATACTTTTATCTGACTGGTGGCACAGTAGGTTTGTTTGTACCAGCATTACCACACATGAATAATGTGTTGTGTTAAGATATTACAATAACTGTGACCTCATGGTATAGCTGCAATGGCACTGAGTGGTAGGAATTTTTCAGTTTGATCATGATTTTATGAGACCACAATTGTATATGTATTTCATCATTAACCAAAACATCATTGTATAGCACATGACTGTATATACATCCATATGTATATATATATGCATGTGTGTGTATTCATATACAGAGTTTTGGAAATTTTTATTCGGAAGTCCTTAACAATTGCAAAATGCAGTCTTACTAATTTAGAATTTAGTTTTTAAAATTAAAAATTTGCCCAAAGGGCAAAAGTGCTTTCCTATATTCATCTCAAATTGGTATGGTTCTATGTGGCTGAATAGAGGAGTCTTATTATAGTACCATAGTTAAACTGATGGAGGTGGAAAGACTGTCATGCAAATACTTTCTTTGTTGCAAAGAGTAAAATATTTGACAGAATTTCTTACTATACACTTGGTAGCATGTAAGAGCCAAGAGACATTTAGTTTAATTTAATTATAGTCTTTCATCTTTCTAATGAATTGGAGTTCAATGGACAGAGTTAAGACAAAAATTGAGATCTTTAGCTCTTGTGTTCTGTGATAATTATTATAGATTCATTTCCATCCTCTAGTCCTGAGAGCATCTTTGTTTTATAACCTGGTTAGATGCGATTGCAATAATTTAATAAGTTATCTTTTTATCTTTGAGGGTTCCCCCTCACTATAATCTTAATATTTGACTTGCAATCATAGTCTTTTTTCTTATGAACCTCTGATTGTACTTACATTTATACTAACTATTTAAATACCCCAATCCAGCTAATGTCCACATGGTATAGTTGTTTGGGGGTATTTGTTATATAAGGTTGCCTTTTTATTACATACTTTCTAGGAATTCTTATGTGTAAAGTTATATATGAACATTTTGTTACTAAACATTCTATTCATTACTTAAACATTTAATTCCCCCAGGACTATTTTCTTCAATTCTACATTTGACTTTCATAGTTGGTATTATTTTAAAAATTGTTTTAGTTCAATTAGCTAGACTTTATATACTTCTTAATTGACTTGTTTTAGTTCATCAGAAAGTATAATTTTATGTATTTAAGTGTGCGTATATATATATTATGTGTACACACACACACACTTACAAGGAAAATAAGACTTTTAAACAGACCTCAATACTTAACATTGTACCCAATACAGTAAATATACTTAGTACCCAAATTTTGGTTTCTAAATGCATTCCCACTAAGAGAGTTCTTTGGAGAAATGACCGATTCCATGTTTGGAGCAGGGAAAGTATAAGGTATGCCTGGGGTATCATTTTGTGAAAAAAAATAAATCTTAAAAATAGCATTGAGGATTAATGGTGGAATATCAAGAAGGACACAAGAGCCAACTTGAGGGTCCTCCCACTGTTCAAATTTAGGATAATTTAAACATCAAAAAGATTAATCATTGAGGGCTGGGGTTGTGTGCAGTGGTAGAGCACTTGCCTAGCATGTGTGAGGCACTGGGTTCGATTCTCAGCACCCCATATAAATAAATAAAGATCCATTGACAAATAAATATTTTTTAAAAAAGATTAATCATTGAAATTTGTTGTAATGCACTAAGGAAAAAAAAAGCTCATATAGACAAAGCTCTTCATAAAATTATTTGAAGAATGCAATTTTTCAAAATACATAGAATGATTTAGGAAAATTAAGGAACACTGTTTACATGATGTCAAATACCAAGTGCAAAAAAAAAGAATATTTGTTTTTATAATCAGATGTAGTTATTAAACTGTTTCACTACTTATGTAAAAAGCTGACATGTGGCTTCTGATGAGATATAAAATGAAGTATAATCTTCAATATACTTCAATAATCTACAATATGCTACCAAAATGTTTAATGAAAATTAAATCTACTATCTAGACTTATCCTCCTGTTCACAAGAAATATAAGGAATAGAGGAATAAGTTTAATTACAGAGTGAGAAAATAGACGAATCCAGTGTTGGGGACTTTGTACAAGACAACTGATCTAAACTTTTCAAAAAGCCAATATAATAAAAGGTGGACTCTTCTAGAATAAGAAACCCAAGAGTCATACAAATGCAAAATGTGATCCTTTATTGATTTCTGACTCAGAAAAAAATAAAACAGCTATAAAAAGACATTGGGGGAATATTTGAGGAAACGGGAGTAGAATGGATATTAGATAATGTGGTATGTTTCATTTTCTTAGGAAGTGATGATGGTATTGAGGATATATAGGATAATGCCCTTATTCTTAGGAGATGCATGCAGAAGTTTTTTAGGTTTGAAAAGTCATGATGACTGCAGGATATTTTCAAATAAATATGTAAAAACATTAGCTGTTGTTGAAACTTTGTATTGAATTTAGGGATATTTATTGGTCATCCTTTAAACTTGTTTGTATGTTTAAATTTTTAATAAAAATTGAGGCAAAAAGTGATTGGATAAAATGATGAGTATGAAGGTCACAGTCAGAATTCACCATCTATATTCAGGGAGTTCCAGTTTGAGAGTTTATCTTCCAGGGATATAATCACTGGAAAAAAAATACCTTTGAATTTGTACTGGCTCCACTTTAAATGGAATAGGTGCACACCTACTGTGTTCTCTCTCCTACTGAACACAACTAATGCTTGGGGCATGACAGCAGGGATATTTGAGAAGAAAACTAGAATTTGAATTAAGATCATTTGACACTCCTGGGCATTCCTTTGGTGAGGAGAGTGTGGTTACCAAACACCTACACCTCAGAGAGATTAACTCTTGTTTCTGGTCAGGGGAATTGTAAGTCAAAAAATGGTGAAGAGGATTTCCACTGATGTACTTCTTTTACTATCTTAATGCTACTTGCTCTTGAATGTGGATATATCCATGAGGTGTGTCAGAGAGAACCTAAAGCCTTGCATTTCTAATTAGATCAGGAAGATGAAGAGACTCTCAAGAGCTGAAAGGTGACAGATAAGAAGTCACTTCACAAAACTGGGCTCACCCTTGATCCATACATATACAGGTCTAACCTTAATGGGGTAGACTATTGCTTAGGTCTGACACTGACCACATGGAATATATCTGTGAGTGTTTGAAAAACTGAACAGAGGTTAGAACCACAGCTGACAAGTGAACTGGAACTGTTGACTAAACTAGCCTGCTGGAAAGAAAAAATATTTTCCAGAAGAATTGAATACTCAGTGTCTCATAATACTCAAAATGTTCAGTGTGCAATGCAGAATGACACAAATACATCAGGAAAGTTTCAACAGTTGGTTAGGAGAAAACAGTCACCAACTCAAAGATGACACATGTTGGAATTACAAGACAAAGATTTTATTTTTTATGTTTTTAAATTTTTAATTGATAGTAATTGTGCATAGTTATGGGGCTCAGTGTGACAATACCTGCATACAATGTGTAATGGTCAGGTAATTGCCATTTTATCACTTCAGACATTTATCATTTCTTTGTTCTGGGAACATTCAAAATCCTCTCTACTAGCTATTTTGAAATACATTTAGTATTTCATAAAACCATAGTTTTCCTACAGTACTATAAAGTACATTAGAAGTTATTCATCTCATTCAACTGTACCCTAAGACTTAAAGTAGATATTTACAAGAATTTTTCAAAAAGTATGGCCATTCCATAAATGAATCAGTATGTCAGATTTTTCAGCAAGAAAGCAAATGAAATTAAAAAGGAATGGGGGTG